GTATCCTTCAGTGCTACTCCCGACAACCGGATGTCAATCACTGCATCGGAGGGAGAGCTCTCTGGAGAGGAAGATTCGGCTGCGCTGCCGCCCTCTGGGATGGTGGCAACACCTGAATGAGATCCGGAGATGTCGGCTATGCTTTCCTGGGCCGCCGAGTGGGTAGGGCTCGAATGGAAACCTCCACCGCGTCCCGAGCCCTCGAGGTTGGACGATTGGTTTCTTGGGGTGGCTTGCGCTAGTTCTCAGCGCCCCGCCCCGGTGCCTTTCTTCCCAGAGGTACATGAGGAGCTCACCAGGTCATGAACGGCTGCTTTTACTGCCAGAAACCGACCTGCTTGTTCTTCCTCCCTCACCACCCTCGACGAGGGTGCAGCTAGGGGTATACGGCGATCCCCCCGGTGGAGCGGCTGGTAGCGATGCAGTTGTGTCCTAAGACCGCCTCCTCCTGGCGGGTAAGCCCATCACTCCCCTCCTGGGCCTGTAGGCATTTGTCTGGTCTGACTGGCGGTGCTTATACGGCTTGTGGAGTAGCTGCCTCCGCCTTACACACTATGGTATTACTTTCATCAGGCCAAGGCACTGAAGGACCTACATGAGGGTGATCATGATCCGGAAGTTCTAAAAGAGCTCCGAACCGCTACTGAACTCGCGCTCCACCTGTCCAGGCCCCCGTCAAACCTGGCGGTGAGTGGAAGAGCAAGATGCCCCATGTCGGGTGACCCAGAGAGAAAGCGAACTGCTCTTTGGGGGATGGTGAATGCACCTCTCCCTCCCCCGGAGGAGGGCCGGGTGGAGAATCTGGAAAATCTCGATGAGAGAGTGGTTTTCTCTGTCTCTGGGTCCCAAGAGGGCACGGAGAGTCGCAGACAAACCAGCACCAGACCACACTCATCCTCCTCTCTCGCCAGCAGGCAGCAGCGAGAGCGTCATCAAAGGCCCTACTCACGCACTCTCTGCCAAACCGTGGAACCAGGTAAGAGTTGGGTCCCTGCATTCCACCTCGCTGCCCCACTCCCTAGAACAGGTCTCCAGGCATGCTGTGGCTTACACCGATGCCTCCACCACCGGCTGGGGGGCCACGAACAATGCGCACACAGTGTCGGGGGGGTGGACGGGCCCCCAACTGCACTGGCATATCAATTGCCTAGAGTTGTTAGCGGTGCGCCTTGCCATGAACCGTCTCAGAGGGCGCTTAGGAGGCAAGCACGTGCTGGTCCAAATGGATAACACGGCGACCGTTACGTACATCAATCATCAAGGTAGTCTGCGCTCCCGTCGCATGTCGCAACTCGCCCGCCACCTCCTCCTTTGGAGTCGGAAGGTTTTGAGGTCACTTCGTGCCATTCACATTCCGGGTCTGCTTAACCGTACAACCGACGAGCTGTCACGAGCTATGCTCCCAGGAGAATGGAGACTCCATCCCCAGACAGTCCAGCTGATTTGGAGACGTTTCGGAGCCACTCAGGTAGACCTGTTTGCCTCTCCAGAAACCTCTCACTGCCAGTTGTTCTACTCCCTGACCAAGGGAACACTCGGCATGGACACACTGGCACACAGCTGGCCGCGGGGCCTGCGCAGGCTTGTGGAGTAGCTGCCTCCGCCTTACACACTATGGTATTACTTTCATCAGGCCAAGGCACTGAAGGACCTACATGAGGGTGATCATGATCCGGAAGTTCTAAAAGAGCTCCGAACCGCTACTGAACTCGCGCTCCACCTGTCCAGGCCCCCGTCAAACCTGGCGGTGAGTGGAAGAGCAAGATGCCCCATGTCGGGTGACCCAGAGAGAAAGCGAACTGCTCTTTGGGGGATGGTGAATGCACCTCTCCCTCCCCCGGAGGAGGGCCGGGTGGAGAATCTGGAAAATCTCGATGAGAGAGTGGTTTTCTCTGTCTCTGGGTCCCAAGAGGGCACGGAGAGTCGCAGACAAACCAGCACCAGACCACACTCATCCTCCTCTCTCGCCAGCAGGCAGCAGCGAGAGCGTCATCAAAGGCCCTACTCACGCACTCTCTGCCAAACCGTGGAACCAGGTAAGAGTTGGGTCCCTGCATTCCACCTCGCTGCCCCACTCCCTAGAACAGGTCTCCAGGCATGCTGTGGCTTACACCGATGCCTCCACCACCGGCTGGGGGGCCACGAACAATGCGCACACAGTGTCGGGGGTGTGGACGGGCCCCCAACTGCACTGGCATATCAATTGCCTAGAGTTGTTAGCGGTGCGCCTTGCCATGAACCGTCTCAGAGGGCGCTTAGGAGGCAAGCACGTGCTGGTCCAAATGGATAACACGGCGACCGTTACGTACATCAATCATCAAGGTAGTCTGCGCTCCCGTCGCATGTCGCAACTCGCCCGCCACCTCCTCCTTTGGAGTCGGAAGGTTTTGAGGTCACTTCGTGCCATTCACATTCCGGGTCTGCTTAACCGTACAACCGACGAGCTGTCACGAGCTATGCTCCCAGGAGAATGGAGACTCCATCCCCAGACAGTCCAGCTGATTTGGAGACGTTTCGGAGCCACTCAGGTAGACCTGTTTGCCTCTCCAGAAACCTCTCACTGCCAGTTGTTCTACTCCCTGACCAAGGGAACACTCGGCATGGACACACTGGCACACAGCTGGCCGCGGGGCCTGCGCATGTATACATTTCCCCCAGTAAGCCTTCTCACACAGACACTGTGCAAGGTCAGAGAGGACAAGGAGCAGGTCCTGCTTGTGGCCCCGTATTGGCCCACTCGGACCTGGTTTCTGGAACTAATGCTCCTTGTGACAGCCCCTCCCTGACAGATTCCTCTGAGGAAGGATCTACTGACTCAGAGACGGGGCACCTGTGGCATCCGTGTCCAGACCTCTGGAAACTTCATGTATGGTCCCTGGACGGGACGCGGAGGTTCTAGTTGACCTACCCCAGCAAGTAGTTGACACCATCACTTTGGCGAGAGCACTGTCTACGGGACATGCTTACGCCTTGAAGTGGAACCTGTTCGTCGAGTGGTGTTCTTCTCGCCCAGAAGACACCCAGAGATACCCAATCAGGGTTGTGCTTTCCTTTTTGCAGCAAGGGTTGGAGCAAAGGCTGTCTCCCTCCACCCTTAAAGTCTATGTCACTGCGATTGTGATTGAAAACTCTGCTCCTGCTTGCACTGGCCTCCATCAAAAGGGTAGGGGATCTGCACGCATTTTCAGTCGACGATTCGTGCCTAGAGTTTGGGCCAGCTGACTCCCAGGTAATCCTGAGGCCCCGGCTCGGCTTTGTGCCCAAGGTTCCTACTACCCCCTTCAGGGATCAGGTAGTGAACCTGCAAGCGCTGCCCCCAGAGGAGGCAGACCCAGCCCTAGCTTTGCTTTGTCCCGTCCGAGCCTTGAGATGGTATGTAGACCGGACACAAAGTCTGTGTCAATTGTCTGTTACGGAGGCTGGCAGAAGGGGAAGGCCATCTCTAAGCAGAGGATAGGCTTTATTGAATCTGTCTGTATCTTTGTAGCCTATGTGAGTATATGTGTGAGTGTGTGTGGCTTATTTTGGTTTCTCTCTGGTCTTAATGGAAAGGGTGAAAGAACTCAGAGAGGAGCTAATGGCTGGAGTTGGGCTTCCTCAGAGAGGTAGGTGTGCGAGTGTGATTGTGTCTCAGAGCAGAGTTATTATATAGAAACTGACATAATCCCACACCAGTATGATCTCTCTGTCTGTGTGGGAAAGAAGAAAATGTCTGTTTTGTGTATTATGTAACACTCGCTACTGTAAATTTATTATGTATTATAAACTGCAAAATTGTGAAGGTTTAGATTTACTTTAAACTTTGCATGTCCTAGCAGAGTTCCAACTGGTGTGTTTTTATCAAGAATCATGGTCATGTTCCACTGTTTTATAATTCTGAGTTTGTGCGATCTGTCTTTAAAATAAATGTCACTTAGTTTGATTTTCTTTTTTATCTTATGCAGTGACATTTATATATTTTATTTATTGTACCCCCCTACTGTTAGACGAAATTTACGCCCCTGGTTGAGTGGCACGATTTTTGTCAAATGTGGATATTTTTATATATTTAAAAAACACAGCAAAACAGCCAGTAATTACCATGCATTTTTATTTGCCTACAGTAACTCTGCTAATAAATTGTTTAAAAAAATGAAAAATGTGTGTGTGTATATATATATATATATATATATATATATATATATAATTATGTTAACGTTATTATTATTATTGTTGTTGTTGTTTACATCTGCAGCTTGTGGAGTTTAAGAGAATTATCACATTACATTGAACACTTCCTGGTGTTTTTTTTGTCCTCAGAACAATATGGATACAATTGAAGCACTGTGCTGCCCTCACAGATACATTGATTTGATTTCTGTCTTGTTTACCTCCAGGAAGGGCTGGAGGTATCAAGCTCAGAGAGTGTTAATATCATTATCTTTCCCAATAGGCTTTATTGAATCTGTCTGTATCTTTGTAGCCTATGTGAGTATACTGTATGTGTGAGTGTGTGTGGCTTATTTTGGTTTCTCTCTGGTCTTAATGGAAAGGGTGAAAGAACTCAGAGAGGAGCTAATGGCTGGAGTTGGGCTTCTTGCGAGCTGACATGAAAGTCTTCCACCCCGCATATTTAAAAATTCAAATGGGTCAGGATTAAAATTTAAACACTGCAGCCTTGAGAATCTAATCCACTGAGGGATGAAAGTCTGAGGAGCGTTCCTGATCTGCAGTCCTCAGAGAGGTAGGTGTGCGAGTGTGATTGTGTCTCAGAGCAGAGTTATTATATAGAAACTGACATAATACCACACCAGTATGATCTCTCTGTCTGTGTGGGAAAGAAGAAAATGTCTGTTTTGTGTATTATGTAACACTCGCTACTGTAAATTTATTGAAAGTGCTTTAAAAACTGACCATCCGTCTCATCTTTTTCTCTTATTTCCCTTCTTTTCTTTCACTCATGCCATCTTTCTCTTTATCATTCTGCTGACCTCCACACATCTACCCTCTCCTCCATACAGTAAGCTCAAACCAGAGCAGTCATGCTCATGAGTACCCAGACTGCCAAGAAGGGGGTAATGAAGCCAGCCTTCTGGTGTCCCCTCTGGTGGTGGCTGGCATCGTCATCGGCCTGGTGCTCTTCCTCTCCTGCGTCACCATCATTGTGGGCAGTCTGCGCAAAGACAGCCGCCTGCGCAACCCCCACCTGCGTGCCAGCTACGGTCAGTGGCCTAACTTCATGGGGTTCACAACATATTTAAAACACTTAATTATTTTGTTTGTAGTTTCTGTGTGGCATAATGGCATGCAGTTGATTTGTCATACTGTTTTGAAAAAGTTGAGAGCAACCAACCCTGTAGTGCATTCAGACTTATGTTTGGGAGGTCAGGGAATAATGCTGGTGAAAAGCCAGTCCTTGTATAACCCTTCTGCTTCTATCAGTTAGCCTTGTCCAGTAGATAGTGATGTGGTCAGCAAGACCCTCTCTCTGCTATTTGGCATTGACTGTATTATAAACTGCAAAATTGTGAAGGTTTAGGTTTACTTTAAACTTTGCATGTCCTAGCAGAGTTCCAACTGGTGTATTTTTTAATCAAGAATCATGGTCATGTTCCACTGTTTTGTAATTTTGAGTTTGTGCGATCTGTCTTTAAAATAAATGTCACTTAGTTTGATTTTCTTTTTTATCTTATGCAGTGACATTTATATATTTTTAATGTGGTCATATCATGAAAAATATGTTTTGCTGCTATTGTTTCTACAGCTCCAGATGGCCTCTCATATGGTGGCTCCATTGGAGAGCTGAGATCCACTTGTGTTGAGGACTTTCCACCTGCATTTGACTTTGACTCCTACGTGGAGACACTGTCTCAAGTCAACGTCATGTACCCAGACTCCCCACCTCAGTGAGTCACATTTTACCTCTGGATTGAGTCTGTGAATATATGTTGCATGTACAGTGGAGGTTAGAGAAGGGAAGGGGTGCGTGAGTAATCAGTAATGAGATCACTTTATCGGCTGCGACAGAGAAGGCACACTGCCTCTTCAATGGATTCCATTCCACCATCCTTTTCGCAGCCTTTAAAGGCCTCAGCATAGCATGAGCTGATAACCACATTAAAAGCCAGTTAGATATGCTAAAGATAGAAATAGTTCAGAATGATTTGCCATATTTCAACTATATTTCACTAGTTTCTCTCACAACTTGACTTGAAGTGTAACTTGCCCCCATCTTATCAGATTCAGACATTCAGTCTTGAAGGGTCTGTTTGAAAATAATGAACCTGTTCTAGTTAGATTAGTTCTCGTATCCGGGAAAAGCAGAGTTGCACTGTGTTCGGACTCATATTGCTTGAAAAATTAGGAATTAGAGAGAAATGGTCAAAAATAGGAAGAATTTGCAGAGAACCAGATGAGTAGTTGTATTCACTCTTCTCAGCTCTCAGTCCTTTTCTTCTTTCTCTGTTCAGAAGGTTTCACCTTTCGCAGTCCTCCCTCATCCTGTTAGGAAGGTTGGACACCTTCAACTTTTCAGTTCTTCTAACAAGCAGGGATTGCTAATAAATGCCATGGCTTTGCACTGAAAAAGGCTTGGTGTGTTTGATCTAAATGACAGCTTGTCTAATTGGCATCTTCAAAGTATCTGTCAGTTCCCTTCCTTGCCATTTAGCCTGCCTGCCTTCACACAGCGACCCATAATATACTCCTCAGGTAGGGGAGCCCATCACAGAGGGCTGTCTCTGAGTCAGAAAGGTTTATTTTTGATCAGATCTCATTCCAACACTATGATTTTAGGGTGGGTGTCAAAACCAGCTCAAATGAACAATGGCCATTGTTGTTTTTAGCATTTATTACTCATAAGAGCACCACAAAAGCAATTTGATTGTGTGAAAGAACCTCACAACCTTGTAATACATTACAAAATCAATACCAGATCATTAGCTGAGGCGATACATTTCAAAATTATTATGACCTCAGGGCTATCTCTACATCCTGGAGTCATTATAACTATAGTCTTTATCATATAACTATAATATATCCATTCGGGGTTTATACATTCTATTATTTTATGAATAATATATATTTAGTGAACTCTAAAACCATTATAACCTCCTTGGGGATATGCTATATATACTGATATATTTATGCCTTCATAACAGAAGTGTATAATCTAAAATTATTATGACCATATTAAATTTTAGGTCATAGTGATTTTGGAATGTATAGCTTCTGACGGAGCAGTAATATATGTAGAAGTCCGTGATATTAGAACTCAAATATCCCTTAAGGCTGGAATACACTACACAATTTTTTGCCCCAATTTACAGTTTGGATAAGTAAATGCTAATTGCCTAAATTCAGAGCCAGTCTGCAGATTTGAGTCAACAGAATTCATAGAAAACTGCGTAGAGTGTGATGGTCATCGATGCTGATTTTTTTTAGCTTCAGTTTATTATTCAACCTAGTTGGAGGATATCAACAATGTTTGATTTGATATTTTCAGTCGATTTTAGAACAAATTGTTTTCATTTGTCACGTGTCTCCTATCAACAATGCACACGTTTCTGCATGAGTAATCGTAATTGACTTTAAAGTCTGGTTGTTTGTGATCCTCAGTCGTGTAGTGTAAGATGGTCAGTTTTCCTCTGTGACTATTTACAAAGTCATTAAGTGTATGATGCTTACCGTTTTAAAATCTGTTCAGATTTTTTAAGTCGTGTAGTGTATTCCAGCCTAGTGTATGAGGTTATTGTGGTTGTGGAATGTAGTGCATGAACCCTCACCTTTAGCCTACTCAACCAAATGTAGTAGACTTGTATTACAATATTCTGTTGGCTTGCATTAAAAGTGCATTCATAGTGTAGACTATAGTTTGCTGTATTTTAAGTACCTAGTATTTCAGGGTTTTTTTATCTAAATGTGGGGGCAAAAAGGCACCTTTACCTTTACACCACATTGGGAAAGAAAAAAAATACAGGTGTATGATCCATGCATATATCCACTGACCTACAAAACACTTGGACCAAGAGACTCCAAAATATGAATAAAAGTGTGCGCTCATGCACACTGGCAGTGTTTAGTATATGGGAAATCAAAAAATGTGCAATGCTGCACAGTACACACACATTTATCAAACATGCCAAAGCAACCTTTCATTTGAGTTCAGATTTTCTGGAAAGAGCAATATGTTTGTCACAATTATTTATGCACTAGAATTGAGTGAAAAGAATGATTGCTTACTCGAATGTAAGTGAAGTGACATGTGGCCAAGTATGGTGACCCATACTCAGAATTAGTGCTCTGCATTTATCCCATCCAAAGTGCGCACACACAGCAGTGAACACACACCCGGAGCAGTGGGTAGCCATTTTTTGCTGCGGCGCCCGGGGAGCAGTTGGGGGTTCGGTGCCTTGTTCAAGGGCACCTCAGTCGTGGTATTGAAGGTGGGAAAGAGAGCTCTGTACATTCCCTCCCCCCACCTACAATCCCTGCCGGTACGAGACTCGAACCCACAACCTTTGGGTTACGAGTAGGGCTGAGGGAATGAGGGAATTTCCCTTGCGGTAATTTTAAGTGGCTCAATAGCGTGGTATGCGGTTTTACCGCCATAAATATACATACATATATATACAGTGGGTACGGAAAGTATTCAGACCCCCTTAAATTTTTCACTCTTTGTTATATTGCAGCCATTTGCTAAAATCATTTAAGATAATTTTTTTTCCTCATTAATGTACACACAGCACCCCATATTGACAGAAAAACACAATTGTTGACATTTTTGCAGATTAAAAAAGAAAAACTGAAATATCACATGGTCCTAAGTATTCAGACCCTTTGCTCAGTATTTAGTAGAAGCACCCTTTTGATCTAATACAGCCATGAGTCTATGTATAACAGTTAGCCTAGTTGTAATCTGATTTTCTAATCTGACTGGACAAGAGATTTTCTATTGATATTTCCTCCTGCGCGCGTTCTAGACAGGCTGTCAGTCAGTGCAGTTACACTGTTGTGCCACAAGGTGGAGGAAAGGGACTGTCATTCAACTACACGTTCAAAAACGCTGATTCATTAATTCAAAGAGACGTAATGAAACACGCTGTTGAAATCATTTAAACTTTGAGCACCACTTTAGAAGGCTTAGCTGACCAGCTATGCATCGATGCTAAGACAGACACTTTCCTTGAACATGACAACCTATTTTCACAAATATATATGACTCGGCCTGGAGGACAGATGCATGTAATCGCACGTGCTCAGTCGATCTCTCTCTCATTCACTGTCTGTTTAGGCTTGTTAAGTGCAAATCTACGGAGCCTCTGTACAAATCAGCATGGTACACATTATGTTATCATTACTAACTTGTTTAATATTCAGTCCACATGCATGAAGTGTAAAACGAGAAGGGCATAACCTTACGAAAAATTAAAACACGGAAAAATTGCGGTTGCTGCGGTTCTTGCATTCCTCTGCGGTAGTGATGCGCGGATGGCGGTTATATCCGCAGGCGCTGCGGATAATCCGCGGATCGGGTGGGTCGGGTAATAAAAAAATGCATTCTGATTATTTGCGGGTGGGTCACAGGTAGATAAAATAAATAATTAATGATGCAAGTATTAACTACATTTTCAAAATTATGAACGTGTTTTAAATAGGCTACAGAAATTGAATAAACTGTAAATTAACATTAAAAGTTATTCAACAAAACATTATTTAGTCAAGAGCAGTAAGGGATTTTCTCTGTCTTTTGTTGTTTGATTAACATTAATAAAAGACGGCACAGCTTTATTAGGCTGCCGTCACAAGACTTATTTCACGGATCCAATACTGATACCCATGCGTTTTATTTTGCAACTGTTTATATTAACTTAAGACAAACCCGACAATACTTTCTCAATTTGGTACTCGCAGCACGCGCTTTGGATGTGACTGTGAGCGCACGCGCCTCTGGAGAGCGCGAGTACCGAATGGCTTAAAATGGATTCGGTTGACGCTTTAGCTCATCCGCGCATCACTACTCTGTGGTTTGCTCGTCAATAGCACGGTATTGCGATATTGCGGTTATCGCAACAGCCCTAGTTACGAGTACGACTCTCTAACAATTAGGCCACGACTTCTCCAGTAAGGAGACTGGATTTAAAGTCCACATTTTAGTTTTTATACTGTAGACTTCAGATATGATCTACAGACCAGATTAGCCCATCATTTTGACTATTTATCAAAATCAGTTACTGATTTCAGTTACTATACTTTGAACTTTATTGAATGGATTACATGTAAAAGTGTCCCTGCTCTAAATAAAAACTGTTGCGTGCTGCTGTCAAAGTTGTTGACTCGAATCTTGATTGAAGTCCAGGTTGACTTGTGACTTCATGCAGAAGCATCACTTCTGATTGACCTGACTGTTGAGTCAGGTCATCTGCTCTTAAAGTGACTCTGTCTAGTTAAGTTATTTATCACTCCTGTAGTTATTCTTTCTCAATACTGAAGTGCTTCCTCGGTTGCATAACAAAGCTCTAAATTGTTAAGCATGTGGCTGCCCAGTGTTGCGTGCGTGTGTGTGTTGAATACCAGAGAGGAAAGGTTTAGTAAGGGTCATGCTTGTGCTCAACTTACCTGCCCTTCATGGCTTGTTTCACAGAGTGCCAATGTTATTTACATCTCTATGACAGTTCCATTAGACTGGCAGAGCCCTCTGGTGAAGCTCTGTGAAGGGGCTTTTGAATGGTGAAATTACCTCTCCCCGGGAGCAAGAGCTACCTGAAAGAGCAGGGCCTTCTCCTATTTAAAAAGCAAATTATGACTAATATAGAATATTAGTGCTAGCCTGGAGGCCTATTAAGAATTACTGAATGGTGTGTAATTCTGTTTGGGAGAGATATCCGACCCTCAGTCCAGATACTCA